GAACTCTATTTTGTCCATTACCTCTGATGAGTTTGAAAACCAGAATTCGCAAACAGGGACGACTGTGACTAAAATTGTAGAAAAAATTGATACAGTGAAAACCAAGATACCAACGGCTATTCGGAATTATGTTGAAATAATTAACAGAAGTACTAGCTTGTCTCGTTCCTGATAGAGAACTAGAAGAAAAATTACAGGATGCACTATGGAAAATCAATTTCGCTGGAGAATTTGTGAATAACTACACTGGGAATCTGCCATTTCGAAGCTCAAGTCCGAAGCTTAATTTTAAAGTGAACTTGAAGCGAAGGATATCATTTTTTTCCTAACACAAATTAGTTTTTCTGGCTGATAAATTGTCGCTGATTGATCACGCTGCTCGGTTTTGCAACATTAGAAACTGCTCGAAGATAATTTTTTTAAACTGTTCTTACCTGTAAATCAGAAGTTCAGAAAGTCTCATTATAACTGAAGTTACTCCACTAGTTTTTCATCATTTCACTCAGTCAAAAATCAAACAAACCTGCATGAATTAGAAAAAACAAAGTAAAAAGTGAAGGAAAATGAAGAGAGGCAGATTGTTGTGAACAAAGCAAATCAGATTGAGAAAAATAACAACAGCACGGGTTAAACCGGAGTTGAAAGAATCTCAAAAAATTGACCTGATTTGAGGCTACGCAGAGTACACAAGCAGCGTAAGCAAGCTGTTTTGCAAGACACTTGCTGTGCTTATAATAAATTATCCGCTCTGAGTTCCACGGTATATATGCTCAAGTTCTAACAAAATTTGCCTCGAAACGTGTCAGTGCTAAAACCGAGGGCACCCTAAAAATTAACGGCTGTTTTTTTTTGAAAAAAATCTGCATAATTAATTTTACTTTTTTGTCAGTTTTACCATTTTCCGTTCCAGGGTTTCACCATTCCAGTGTTTCAAACTGACCATGCGTCTATTCTACTAAAAGGTTACTGTAAACCATCAATAAAGCCTACATGAGCTGCCTACCATCAGCCCAAGGGACGAGCGTACAACCCTTTGATTGCTTCTGTTGTGTCCTTTAGAGGTATCGTAGCATCAAAATAGAAAGACTGTGAGTTGAGAAGAAAATTGTTTTATTAGGCAATTCAAAATTGAATAATTAAAAAATCGCTTCACTTTTTCCAGACAAGATAGGTGTACACTTTCGGTTACATCTTTTCCCCGAACGAATCCATATTTTTCACATATTTTTGATTCTAGTATGAGTCCAATAAAGAGTTTTTACTTTAATTTTACACGAGTTGACATTTAACCATTGCAATTTGAACTTATCCTGGAAAGAGTTGAAAAGATTTTAAATCGGTAGAACTTAGTGTTTCAATAGCTCCTAATAGTTCGGGGACTGGAAAAACGGGCAGAGCGGAAAAAAAACACAAAAGTCACCTTTTGCTGCCGGAGAATCTCTTGCAAAAATTGGTTTCCATTCATTTTTGTTTTTGTTATTTCAGCCAATGAGCTTTTTATTCAATCGTAGCGTTCCAAAGAAGGATTGTGCGCAGAATTTAAACCAAAAAGTTTCACCATGTGAAAACCAATATTTTTTAATTGAGCAATTTTTTGCGACAAAAACTTCCTAAGGTTACAAATTCAACATTCGAGTTGATTTTTCTGAACCTAATGTTTTAAATTGAACTTTGAATGTTTCGGTGTTCGTAATTTGGTCAGGCCGAGAAAAAAAAATAAAATATTCTGAGGCTCAAACAATATTTTTTTCCCCAATTTTCATTTTGTTTTACGATCTCGGATCTCTAATTTTTTTGTCGTCGGTTGAATATCATCTAAATACCAAAGATTCAATTCAGATTCGAACTTTCTTACTACCGTCTGTATTCTTTAAAAAAAACATTCTTTTAAACAGGTTATAAGAAAAGGTACTTAGGTTTATTATTGCCGCAATTAGAATGTTTGTACAATACCGGGCAATTCAAAAGAATGTGAGAAACAAATTTTTTTGATCAAATTAATCAAATGAACTTCTAAAATCCCATTTCAAAAAACTGAACTGTTGGGATTTTAATTGCGTTCTATAAAATTGTGAAAAAGTTTGCAGCAAATTCAGCTCCTTAATTAGTCTCACGTTCCATCTGAAATGTCCCGAAAACCCAATGTCACTCTGCCAGAACATTGGATTCTGCGCATTTAGACGCAATGCATCTAAGCGTGAAGCGATGACAATTAGTCACAAATGTCTATCTTTCTTAGTAAAAATCATAAGTTTTGCTCCAATTTATAAAAAAAAAACAGATGGAATTTTCTACCTCCTCCATGAAAACTCAGCAGCTTAGAAAGCCAATTCAACATATTGAGCTGCGCGTTGTCTATTGTATTACTGATAAATTTTATCAAAACGTGGGTAGCATTTTTGACCCGGCTGAATCCGAACTATTTGGAAAAAAACATCATTGCTTTGTACACCTCAGTTCGAAAAAAACTTAAAATGTTTTAGGGGTTTGAAGCAACCAAATTTGGTTTTTTGGATGTTTTGAAACTGATTTTTTTTTCAGTTAGGTGTCAATAAAGCACTATTTTATTGTCCGAATTGGCGATGCCGGATTCTTCCCTCTATGATTCCTTCATCAAGTTTGTTGTTGATTATTTTGATTCTCTGCTCCAGGTCTGTCTGGGGTTGTTTTGTCCTTGGGAAGGGGCTCAGGCAGTGAAGCAACATTGACTTTTTGTTTGTTTTACAGAGCTCATAGTTGCCTCTTGTTTAGGTCCACTTGTTCTGGATAGTTCTCGATAAACAAGAAGAAAATCACAAAAGTTGGCCATGAAGTGACATTTAGTACTGCAAGATAAATGAAATTCTCTTAAACCGTTAGACTTTCACCCAAGAATTTGCGGGTGTCCATATGCACTCGTTCGATTGCTCAAAGTTTTGATATAGCCTTATTATATAATTATTTATAACTAACTCAATAATAATTGACAAAGTTTTGCCCGATTTAAGACTTCTCATGATAAACTAGAACTATTGGATCTTCATACAAGTGCTTAGATTTTTTTTACACAATTTATTCGATACAAGTTCAAACGGCAATCATATCTTTACCAATTCAAAAAGCGTGGTTTCATGTTCAGACCTAAAAAGTCTGAACCACTCAGCGTGGGAACGAAAAAATCATAGTCACGGCGCATGTCAAGTTATCCAAAGTTTCAAAATATATCTGCAAAGTCTCCTGGAGTGTACAATAAAATGTATTCCGGGCTGTCAGATGATTATGAACCAGCAGGTTTTCTAAAGAAGTCAATAGAAGTTGCAATCGAAACGCTCTGCTGAACTCGTCGAATTGAAATGTCAAATAAATAGGAACATTTTTCGATCCCAAAACAAAAACTTGAGTATTTTTCTTTTATTGGTTTCAACACTTCGTCCACACGAGTCAACGGCTTTTTCGGTAATTTTTTTAAGACTTCCTAAACTCATTTGATCAATTTTCGGGCTAGTGGTCAGAAAGGCCAAAATCGAGCTATCTTTGACTCCTTTTTTCCAATAGGAAAATGAGCATTGGGTAGGCTGTTGTAGCCAAAAAGTATTTGGTTGGACGTCTTGGACTTAAAACGAATGAAATATTCCAAACCGTCCGGTGCCGAAAACTTTTGATTGACGAGGTCCAGAACCTCAAACCAGATCCACGTGGTCTGAAGCAAGATTCATTTGGTCCTCACGGTCCTAAACCACATTTCTTCGATCCACGCCGTCTGAATCCGCCTTTTTTTGGCCCACGCGGTGAACTTCCAATTTTCGTCGGTCCACGCGGTCTGAAACCGCATTCATTCGGTCCACACGGTCTGAAATCGCATTCATTCGGTTCACACGGTCTGAATCGGGATCGTTCGGTCCACACGGTCCAAATCCAAGTTTTTTCGGTTCACAAGTTCTGAAAACGGATTAAATCAGTCCACACGGTCTGATCATAGTTTTTTGCGGTCCACACGGTCTGAACGTACCTTATTCTGGTTCGAACGGTCTGAACATGCTAAGTTCCGGTCCGCGCGGTCTGAATCTTCATTTCTTTGGTCCAGACGTCTTTGCGCCAGGCCTGTCTCTAAAATCACTCAAAGGGTGCTCGACAAACAAACAGGCACAACTTTGTAATAGGTTCATTGCTACAATATGTCAAAAATAAGATGGAGGATGAAGCAACCAAATTTTGCACTGAGAGAAACCTAACATGATTGCTTTGTGAAACAAAATGTTAAAACTTTTTTTTATAATTATTTCTTGCAGATTGTTACGCTATTTGTCGAAGAATAATTCTCATCCACCATTTTTGACATTTTTTTCCATTTCCGCATTGATTTTTCTGAAATGAGCTCAACCCTCTGATAACTGCCCAATTTTCTCCAATTAAGATAGAAAAACATTCACTCAGGATGCAACTATTTTGTTCAAATAGTTTTCACTTTTTATAGTAACTCAGGGTATTACACATTCCTTTGAATTTCTAGTTCAACTTGTTAAAACATACTTCACGTATCTTTTCAGCTTTCTCCACCGCGAATGGGTGGATTTGTCAATTGATTTTTTTTCCCTTGTTTGTAGTTTCACCAGTTTCTTTTACTTCTTTGAAATTTTTTGGAATAGATTTTTAAAAACGGTTTCTTTGTTTCAATCCGATAAAAATAAAAATCACTTTTCAGTTTTCATTTTTCAATTTAAAAAATTATCGTGATTTTTATCAAATTAAATATTATCTCATATCAGTCGTTTTCTCGTGCGAATAATCATTTTGTTTATGCCCTGACCGTTAATTTAAGTGTCCGAATAATCATTTTGTTTATGCCCTGACCGTTAATTTAAGTTTTTTCTGAACATGCTTCACTTTTTCCAAATAAGTTTTCGAATCATCAGCATTTTATAAAGTTTTTGGGTTTTTCGAGAAGTTTTACAAGCTTTTTGTGATAATTTTTTGTATCTACGCTTACACATAAACCTAGACGTTGACAACTCATTCTTTAACGCTTCAAATTTTTGCAGGTTTTAACTATAATCTTGTCTGATTCTTTCTTTGTTGTAGATTAGACACCATCTTGTGGTTGTTAGTTGTGTGAGTTTTGAATTCAGGCCGTGCATGGAGATTGGACATAATTTAAACAAATCAAGTTTGATTAAAGGCAATGAGTTCTTCATCAATCCGTCTGCAGAACAATTGAAAGAATTTGCTGCTAATAAAGTTATGAAAGATTTTCAAAAGAACCTCGGCCCCGAGGATCAACAGCCTATTCTTACAGAGAGCGAGCGTCTGGCTGCGATTAAGAAGGAAAAGGATGAATTCGAGAATCGTAAGAAAGTCGAGATCAAAGGATTACCAGCGGAAATGAAAGCCGAGGTTTGTACCTACCGTGTCTCTTTCCTGTATCTTGCCTCTCGTATTGCTCGTGAAACTTTTAAAATGATCGAGAACAGTCGTTTAGTCAATTTCTTAAGAGCTTGCGTAATGTCGCTGATTTATGGTTTCCTATAGCATGTTTTCGCACGTTCCAAAATTAAAAGTAGCCGCTAGGCCAATCATGATGACCATAATGAAACTTTTTAAATCGCTGTTCGTAATGAACGACATTCAATCTGCCCTTCAAAATCTTCTCTGAATAGTTGCAGCATCGAGAACCCCAAGCCGTTGTTTAAGGAAATAAATTCTTTTCAAATCTTGGCGCCGTCAAACAAACGCGTAACTCTTTCACATAGATCTGAAAAGGCAGTATTATTTTTTCAGGATGTGTCTGGTCTTCTTGAAAATTATCATGTTGGACCAATACAGCTGGAGAAAGTGGAGAATTCAACAAATGGTATGTTTAGAATGCCAATAGATCTTTGACACATTGAAATATTTTTCATAAATATTAAAAATATCCAATTTTTGCAATCCAGATTATCATCTTTCCGTAGAAACCTAAAATGTTCAAAGTTATTTTTTTAAATATATCATGGGCGGTAGGCAAGGCTCAAAATTTGTAATCAACAATTGGATTTTACTTTAGCAATTGTTTTACTGGGCAACGGCGAGGAAGCGGAAGCTGCTGTTCGAGAACTTAATGGTCAACGTTACAATAACTGCGTACTTCAATGTTCCATGGCATCTGTTGATTCTCTACTTTGTATTACAAATCTTCCCTTATCTTACACACAGGAGAACGTTCGAAAGATGTGTGAAGCATATGGTCCAGTAGACAGATGTTTTGTTATGCCAAGTGAAGAAACGGGGAATTCGAAAGGATACGCTTTTGTGGAATACCCCAACAAAGATATCGCTCGAAAAGCCAAAACGCAATTAAACGGACGCTTAGTTCAAACCCACGAAATCAACTGTGACTGGACAGATGAAAATCATTGTTATTGGAATAAATTACATTCCACTTGTTTATTAGCTGAATTAACCGCAGACTTTAACGATACGACGAAGTTTCGCAGTCTTTTCAATAAAATAGCAGATCCCAGATATATTCAGGTAAAACATTGACTATTTCATATTAATTAAGGTCGCTCATGATAAGGATCCAAAATTTGCTTTGTTTTTAAGCTGGCTCTGAATTCTGAAACACGGAAATGTCTGGGTTTTGGAATTGTTGCGTTCGAGAATCCACTTGTAACGGAGCAGACATGGTATAAAGTAAATGGTGCTAATGTTTACGGCCAAAACCTCAGAGTCTATTTTGTTTGTCCCGGACATTCAGGGAGAAACGAGTACACAAGAAGACTAGCCAAGTGTCAGAAAAAATCACCCCAGGTTTGTTGAAGTTTTTTAAATGATTTAAGCATGTGAAAAGAGTCTAATAAAACGTCTTATTTGTTTCAGGCCGTGCTAGGGGCACCTCTATTTCAGAATGTATCGCAGTTTCCTTCAAATGGTCTTCTAAACCCACTATTAATGGCGAAATGTGAGTTTATGATCGTATTGATTTGTTTTGTTTTTTATTTAGAGGAAAAATCTTTCATAGCTTCAGCTTCGGTTTTTTAATTGATTTTAATTGTCGGTATGTTTGCTTAAACAAATTATACTAAATAAACTATAAATGAAAGTTAAAAGTAAATTACTTCAAATGCGTTTTATTAACTACACTACGGAGCGTTGTGTCATATTACGGTATCCACTTTTTTTCCAACTAAGTCGCAAATAAAGGTGCTCATATTTTGATGACGCAGTTGCATTTTTACATCTGCTGAAATTTTGCTTCATAACATGGTTTTGCATCTGGTTTATTATAGGCTTGTTCCTGTTTGATGAAACACAGGTATTATGAAGCTGCATGGGATTTGGTTTTTATTTTTTGAGACGCGTATGAAAAGATTTGCACTTTAAGTACAAGTGGTACCAATAGAGGGACCGGCTACTCTCTTGTATGCCTGGATATTCCGCCAGTCTCTTATTTACGTTCTACTACCTTCAAAAATCTCAGTAGGGGAAATTATGACCCATTTTTTTTGGATTATTTTCATTTTACCATGACAAATCTAATTTTAAGGGTTTAATCAAAAAAGTGTGTTCTGGGGATCTCTCCTGTATAAGCTACTAAGCCCTAATTTTGATAGAACAAGAGTTTTGGCCTCAGAAAATATCAAAGTTTTGAAGTTTGACCGTTTTTCGAAACTTTTTCCTGTTCTCGAAAAATTACCCTGAAGTTGATGCTTTAATCGAAAGAACAGATTTTGCTGCGTAACTGGTCTAGCCTTAAATTTTTTGATGAAAAAAGTTATTGTTCCGACTTTCGATACGAAAGTGACGGAATATTTGTGCTCGGGTGGGTTTTTTTTTTCTTCAGACAAATTTCGACTTTTTAACTAGCCGTTTTTGACGGAATTTTATTATATCATTCAAAAGGTATTGTTGTCTTGAGCTTAAATTTGAAAAGATATTTCACCTGTGATCATTTTTCGAAAAGTTATGGGGGTTTAAAGATCGCCATTTTGGTCAATTTGGGACAATTAGCGCGCTATATATTTCGCGCTATTAACGCATAAACGGAGATTTAATCCGTCTTAGAAATTGTTCCAAATTGGTTGAAGGAAGCTTATTTGCCGTAATTGATGTGTTACTGGAAGCGAAATTTATCACTTTGTACTTTATGTGGCGTGTGGGGGGATGATTTTCACAAAATATCTCAAATTTTTTTTCATTTAATTTTTTCATGTTATTACTGCTTCATAGAACTTAAAAGGCAGTCGGAACATTCAGGGCTTCGCCCTGGTACGAGCAGTCTTGTTGTCTTTAAAATAGGACAATTTTTGAAATCTTGTTTTGAAATTTTTTGACTTCTCTCAAAAACTACTCTGCCGAATCTAGATTAAGGTTCAATTGGAAAAACAGATACTATGAGTGTTCCACTGGATAAACAGCTACGCCCTAATAGTTTTGTAGAAACTGAATTTTGGACTTAGTCAAAAACTAAGTCTTTTTTTGAAATTTCTTTTTTGGAGACTTCTGTCAAAAACTACCCTGCCAAATCTCATTAAAAAGCTTCAATCAAAAGAACAGGTGCTTGAAAAGATCTTTGCATAGCAACGATGCCCTAGTTTTTGTAAAACGGCAATGTTGAAAACTAATGTTGGAATTGGCAAAATTATGTTCGTTTGAACTACGGTGTAAAATCTGATATTCAGGGTTCAATTGAAACAAGCTTAAGAGTATCACCTGTATAAGCAAATTGTTCCATTTTTTGGTAAGGAAACCGCTATGGACTGAAGAAGTGTTTCACATTTTGACCCATTTTTGGACTTGTTCAATTTCACAAAAACGACCGTGCCAATTCTGAAATAAAATTAATCAGACGGAGATGTAAGCCTGTTCTCGTATTTCTGTTGATAGGAATCAGCTGTGGGCCTCGTTAATGTCCAGTTTTTGATATTTTGACTCATTTTGATTTTGAAAATTACTTTCGCATTAGTACGCGTTAAAAAATATCAAACAGGTACCTCCAGTTATAGCTGGGCTCCTTGTGTAACTATTGCTGAGCGGCCATGGCGCAAATGCTAGGTCGTGTGACTTTCAATCTCCAGGTCGGAGATTTGGTTCCGAAATCTAGCATAATTTTTTAAGTCCTACTTTTTTTCAGTTTTCACTACCTTTTAGTGCTACTTATGACCCTTTTCTAACTTGTATTTGCGAAGTGCGGCTTTGCCTCTGTGATTTATCAAACAATCGGCGCTGGGGTGCTAGAGACGTTATAATAATGAGTGTGTGTTAGTTGGAGGTGCAGCCAACTCAGTGGCGGGAGCCAACAGTGCAATGAGTCAGCTGGCGGCCTTACAGAATGGGACCAATCCTGCCGCCTCAGCTGTCATGCAATCATCACCTTCGCATCAATTTGTCTCTCAAAATCACCACGCCTTACAACTAGCAGCCGCTCAACAGGTAATTTCCCCAGTTCTGCAGAAATAATTGTTACGCTCGCAATTAGCAAATATTATCAAATTAGAACATGTTTTTCCAAGCTACCAGCTTGTCGAACAGAATCAGTTGATGATTTGACTTAAATCATCGGCAAATCAAGTTCCAGCATTTAAAGCTTCGCACAACGCCCAGAGACGTCTACATGCTTGGGACAGCAAACCTGAGCTGTATTAAAAAACCTCTAAAATTCTCTGTTTAGGAAAGTTTATTATGAGGTGATGGCTTTTTTCTTTTTTTTTTGGCACTGACTTTTTTCTTACCCTAGAACCAAGGTTTCTTTATTCTTAATAGTGCTATTGAATTTGCCTTGTAAGTAGTTATAACCAATTGTCTAAACCTTGCTCGCGTTTTCAGTTTTCCAAGTTTTCTTAGTGTTTTCGATGAACTATAAAAAAATAATTTTTCTATTGCTTACACAAGCCAGCTTAGAAAGGCAGTGTTATAAAATCAGTCAAGGAAAATAGTTGCCTATAGCCCTATAATAAACCTACAACTATGCGCTAATTTTACAACATATCTGCTTTTTAAAGTGCTTTCCTGCCTGATATCTAAGAATAAGGTGTGCTCGAATGGCTTTCATTTTATCAAAGAAGCATTTTGATTTGGTTAAGTGGGTGAAGCCCTTTTAGTCGTGATTTGAACATCTTAAAAAATCAATTCAAAAAGTTATCTCTGTGTCGAGAGAATACGGTTTGAAAGCGAACAAAGCGATAGAGTAGCGTTCGTCATGAAAGTTGGTGATTTAAGCTAAAAAAAAACTTGATTTTTAAATTTTTTTCTGATAGTTTTTATGATTTTTTCATTTTTCTAGTCCATTTTCTACTTAACTATTTAAAAAATTGCCTATTTTATTTTGACTGTCGAATATGCCTAAGTTTTAGTTTTTGTTCAGATCCTTTTATCACACCACTCAGAAAAAAAAAACGAGACTAATTTGAAAAAAAAGTTTTTGTGTTTTTTAAGAGAGTTTGTATTTTGAAATCAATTTTGTTGCAAGACATTTTTTTTTGAGCAACTTAGCCCTTGTGTTTATATTTTGCTGTTTGGTTTGGTTTGATTCAAATAGGGAGTGACAAAAATTGGCTTCAAACAATGATTAAAATTGATTTTTTATACAAAATATTTGACGCTCAAAAAAGCTTTAAAAAGAATTCTAAAAACTAAGTTTGTATTGGAAATCTATTTAAAAATATTTTAAGCAATCGTTCGTTGTTCAGAGAACTCAAATCTTTTGATAAACAGTCAGGTAGTTTTTGGTTTGCTTTTTTAATGCTCGGAGGCTATAGCTGGCATTTCGAATGCTCATAGTTTGTGAATTTAGCTATTTTTTGGTAACTAGTTGGTTTATAATATTTTCGTTACTTTCAACTTAAAATCAATAGTATTTACCAGAGCCGAGCTATGAAAATTATAAATCAAGTTAATTCATTTATAATTGACAAAACTGACGTGAGTGCGCGCTTAAGGGCTTTTGAGTGTTCAACCAAGTTGAAGTGTTTTGTGAATGGTTTTTGAGTTGAGTAGAAAGCTACGGAAAAAAACATGGTTCTAATCAAATTAAGTTGAATACATCTCACCTGCATTTTGAGCTCAAGAAAACGAATTCAAGAAAGAAGATAAAGCTAGCTTGCAAATATAAGTTTAATTGGTGCAATTTATTGTCTACTCGAAAGAATCTTGAGGTCCTTATTGAAAATAGCAAGTTGTCGCTTGATGTTTTAAAGCGCCTACAATTTCGCGCCACTTCATGTGAAGAAACGTTTTAAAAGTTGAACGTTTGATTTTTTAACTTTGATTTTTAATTAGACCGATTATTGAATCATTAGTTATTCAATGCCCGGTCTCATGGTAATATTTCGGTCGAATTGGTTTTTATCTAAAATTTTTCAAAAAAGCAGAGCTAGGCTGTCTGGAGGTATCCTGCTACAATTTGTTCTTTTAATTTTATGATGCCATCTCGAAACAGCCTTCTGGAATACATTAGTATTAGTAGTTTTTGAAAGTGCATGGAATGTGTTTTAGGCGGCGTTAATGGCGGCCGCGGGAGGAGGTGGGTCCGCAATCAACGGCGTCTCTCAAAATGCCCTCTTAGCCCAAGCACAAGCAGCTGCCGCCGCCGCCGTTGTCTCTAGCCAAGCAGCACACATGCACGGTCATCCCGCCGCACACTTGAGTAACTCGGTGATGAGCAGTGCAGCCGGAACGCACCATCAGTCGCAGCACCACTCGCAACAACAAGCGGCAGCACTGGCAGCGGCGTCTTTGATGTCATCGAACCAAGCGAGTCACCAAGGAGGATCTCCGCATAATATGTCGGCTGCACATCAAGCGGCAACATTGCAACATCTTCAGCAACAGTTGGCGGCGGCTGCCGCTACCAATAACCAACAGGTGAGTGTGGAAAAGGTGTTTTGCTGATTGAGTTTATTTTAATCAGCGATGGATTACAATTAGAGCCTCCGGTTTTAAGAGGCGCATACTATTGTAATTTATTGTCCGTTGATGAGGCAATATAGACGACGATGAAAAGCGCGTGATATTAATTTCTAATCAAGTGTTTATTTTCATTTTCTTTCTTGATAAAATTCTACAAATTTCCTGCTTAAGTAAAACATAAATTTGAAATAGATCTATCATTTCGTATGTTTTGTATAATTAGTTGAAAATAACGAGTAAGTACAACTTAGTGTGCCTTTAATCATGATGCGAGTGAATAGAAGTTTTACCAAAAATGATCACCAACCAATCTGATTTTTCGGTTCGGTGGCAGTTATGCTTCCTGCCCTCGCCCAGTCGGAATTTGGCAGGAGGTCAGCTGACTAAATAGTTGGAGTTGAACTGATTAAGATAAGGCATGTGTTATTTGTGATCTTAGATTTTTGATGATTTTTGAACAGTTCGGTCATAATCTAACTATTTTCCAATGGTTCCCATATCAAGATTGTGAACAAGAGTAATTTCATCAGTTATGAAAAGTTACAGCCGAAAATTTTTTCCATGGAAATTGAGATATTTTATCTAAACACATAGCATTTGTTTTTCGGGAATAACATTCCAAAAAGCGCTCAAAAATTGAAAATAGTATAAATCGACGAATGTTTGTTATCTTGCATTTGATTCAGTCAGTTCAACTTTTTCTATTCGAATCTTGGCTATGATGTGACATAAATGGCCTGTTAATTCTTATTTTTGGCTGTTGTGGTTGATTTGATTTGTTCAATTTAGTTCTCTGATTTTTTATTTTCTTCTGTTGCAATCAAGAACTCACATCTTAACAACTGTTGAGGAAAATTGAACAATTGTCTTTTAATCAGCCAGTGCTTTGTTCGCTTGACAAGACCCTAACTTCATCTTAGCTTTGCCCGTCTTATCTTGTTTTATTGAAGAAAAAAGTCATCGAATTCAGGTCTTCAATTTAACCCATTTTGCTCGAAGATTTGAATGTAGTGGTATCAATCGCTAATAACCAAGTTGAATTTAATTTGTTCAAGAGCAAGTGTATAATAATCGGGTATTGGACTTATTCCCATAAAAAACGAGAAATAATACGTTTCATAAAAAATTGAAATCCAGTGGCGGTTTCTGCCCAGTGAGCCTAGAAATAACGACCATGCTTCGGATGATTATTTCCAGGTGTTGGTGTCCGTCTTCTTTTTGCGCGCAAGAAGTTTTCTGCGTAATAAAACTAGGGCTATCGTGTCTGCTTTTTTGTCGGTTTAGTTCCCGCAACATGCACTTTTCTTGAAGATTCGGCTATTTTTACCATTTTAGAATAACATATCTAACATTTATAATTGTGCAGAATATTTTATACTAGCGATAGCGAGCTTGCGAGCATTAGTGTATTAGTATGATTTTTTTCTAGCGTTAATCGCAGATAAAAGTGTTCATTGGAAATTTCTTAGCTCTTCTGTTTTATTTGTGGCTAGTGTTTGGCATCAATGAAGCGTCCGAGACTGAGTGATTAGTGCGTGAGGTGTGAGGTGCTTAATTTCTAGGTCGCAGTAGGTTCGATTTCTTATTGCAATTTATAGAGCTGCTTTTTTTGTGTTTTGCTAGTGTTTGCGAAGTCTAACTTCGCCTATGTGTTTCAATTCCAAGATTTTTCAATTCCAGACTAAAATTTCATTTTTTATTCAAGCTTTTTTGGTCTTAATTGCTTCGGCTCATGCTAAAGAAATATTAAAAGAGTGAAATTATTTATGATTTTGTTTCGGCTCAAAGGGTGTCTACTGAAGTATAAAATTGCTCATCTGGTGGCACTTTTGCTGCGTAGCATTGGCATTTTAATAGCATCTGTTCTATCAGCTGTATTGGTAGCTAGTGTCCATCTAATGCCAAGCGGCGATGAGTGCATGCGAAGACGTAATACTCTGTATCTCCAGGGCAAGAAACCATGGTGCTGATGCTTAGACGTGGTCTTGCTTCTTGCTTTTTTTTGTGCTGCTTCGCCTTTGTGTAAGTTTTGTTTTAAAAAAAATTAAAACAGGCAATTGTGTTTCCTTACACGTTTCCATCAAATCCAATTTTACTCCCGACAAGCGTAGAATTTTTTTTTTTTTGATTCAGTGGCTTTCGTCTTTCGTTTTTTTCCGGATAGCTCTCATGCTATTTCTGTGTAGCAGCGCAAGTGTTGCAAAGTTCTGTCTCAAAATAGTGCGAAATTGCTTTGCTAGAAAAAGATTTTGAGATGATTTTAATTTTCGTGTGGGAAAATTAAGAAAATTTTCACTTTTTAACAAAATAATTTTTTGAAAGCGTTCTTATTGAAGTCACTTTGACGAAATATCAGTTTTTCTTGATTAAAAATGAGCTTATTTGAACTTGTACCTCTAAGGCTATGACTGATTGATGCATGGATGGCGACTACATTCAACGATCGTCTTATTCTCAGCTGTCTCCAACTGACCCTCTATAATCATTGAATAGCGAGATATGCGAGAAAAGATAGAGCGATAGTTTATTTTCACTCGCAATGGGTTTTCATTAAAATACCCAGTTAGATTTGATAATGTCTCTTCTGTCTCGTTTTTTTAAGAACCTTTTTCAATCATCCGCAAAATTTTTTTGAGGTTTACGAGAACAGATGTCTTTCAAATTCACAAAAACTTGTTTATCTTCGATTTTTGATAATTTTTCTTTTCATGTTCAAGGAAATAATTTTAATCCTCGAGTATGAACCTTCTTTTACTATTACTGTATCAATGTAATTTCGTTATTTTTTTATATCAATTCAGCATTTTTTGTATTCTGATTATTTTTCTATTCTGTATTTGAAATCTCAGGACTTTGCTCTATCTGAAATTAGGAGTGTTTTTATGTGGGCTGCTACTCCTGTTGTTAAAAATTGGCCCTTGGCCATTTTCAATCTGACAAAGAGCCCCTCAATTAACTGTTAAACCCATCATCATCGATCCTTTCCTCCTCTCTCTCTCCCTCTCTCTCTCTCTCTCTCTCTCTCTCTCTCTCTTACCTCTTTTTCTGGCATTTTCCCTATTTTTATGTTCACATTTTATCAAATTTTAGATCGTTGTGCGATTTTTTTTTCAGTTATGTCGCAAATCTGCGCCTTACTTGAATCTGAGGGTATTTTTCCTGTTCTTCAAAAAGTGCCCCAGGTATTTTTCACTCAATATCTTGGGTTCTTTAGCGCATCTATTGTATTGTTACGGCACGTATCAACCCTGATATTCAAATACCTGCCTCTAAATTTCTATCGCTCTTCTTTTTAGGGGTTTGAATTCAAGAAATCCGTAACAGCCTGAAGCGTTTCGCTAATTTCGAGACGCTGCTTTTGTCAGCTTTCTCCCCGAATTCGCCGGAATGGTGACCAGCCCCCCTTGAAAGCCAATCAAGCATAAAATGACTGCTCGAGAAGTCCAAAAAAATAAACATCAAACGACTGGGAAATTTCACATATTTTCGCCGATTTTGTCCTTTCGAAGTAAATTACTAAAATTCTAATATTAAGAGGAAGTTATAAATTTGCATTCGTATGATGTATGATTAGGTTTTAGAAGTAACTAACTTCGTTTCTATTGTGTTTGAACGTAGGGTATTGATTTTTGCCGAATCAGCTGCTGAACAAACTTAGATAACTAAGATTGTGTTTCCTGTAGTTACGGCAAAGTCGAAATTGACCAAATCAATAGAAGTTAATTTCATTGCATAATCAAGCCCCCTCCCCTAATTTTAGGACCCTTTGTTGATGGATTTTGATTGATGTGTCTGCCGCGAAAGGATAACGTATCTCGTTTAAGTAACCATAGTGGGTTTGGTTTATATTTGAGGATATAATATTCGAATTTTGGTTGACAGCGCCCAAAATGTGCAACTGTAGACCAAAGCTAGAAACAAAAATACGGAGTTTTTTCGATATATTTAATTATCTGAACCAGGGGAATTATATTACAATCGGCATTACATTCGAATTGTGGGTTAATGGACTATATTTAGGAAAATTCTGGGAAATTTGGCATTTTTTATTTTCGGCTGTTTGCTGCCTCGTCTAAATGCACTAGCATCATTGTGGTTTGAATGGTGTGAGCTGAATTTGTCATTGTTTGCTGTTGAGACGTTAATCTGGGCTCTCAATGTTTGCTGGAAAAGTTTGAATTCGGTCTAATCTCCTTAAGCAAACCTTTCACAACGCTGATGCTTGCCTGAATATGAGCGGGTTTCAATGTGAATGAAAATCCCAAATATGAAAGCATGCTCAAATTAGAGAAGGCTAAACAAAATTTTTAAGTGCTCAGAATGGTCAAAACGCGTTTTCTGTAAGGTTGAAGTTCATTTTGAGTTGAAATGGTTAATTTTTGCAACAGCTGACGAATGTCTTGCTGATTTTTAATCCATCAAATCTCTGATCTTACTGGTTTTTAATCTTTTTTGTAGGTAATAATGTCTATTCACTGTATAAAATTATTCTAATAAGTTGAAATCTTGTAAATCTGCGAGCATTTTTGCAATATTTGCGCTCTTGGAAGATTTATGTTTTTGCGCTTCTGTGCAAACAACGTTTTTGCCTCTAAAGCTGATGTTTTTTGAAAATAAAAGTAATAAAACAAAAATTTGCCAGTTGCTGCGCAAGCAGCTCAGAAAATTCCGACCACACAAATATTTTTAAAAAAAACTATTAAAAAAGATGCCATATAGAAGCGCTAAATATAGCTATTAAGTATTTGTTGGAGTAAAACTAAGTTCTCTTTAACTTGTTTTCAGTTCGCTGCCCCCCCCCCCACCCTCCCAAAAAAATCCCAATGTTTAATTTTTTTTCTTTTTAGAATAAATTGTGGCAAGTAATTTCTTTTCATGTGCACATCACCCAGTTATGCGTTTTTGTGTTGGGAGAACATAAATGGGATCATTCTAGAGACCATTTTTGGGGATCT